GCAATTACAAGCTAGAACCAGTGTGTTAATAACCTATCAGAAGTCTCTCTAAAAGGTTTGCAGCAGAATGTATGTCAGCATACCTACGTGAAGTTCAAGGGAAGTCTGATACAGTCCACTGTTTGCTCTCCGCCAGTGTCGCCATTTGAAAGTCACGAGCTATCAAATGGGAGTCTAATACGCTAATATCTTGTCCGTTTGTCTATACCACTGTAACAAGGTGGGGAATGTATTGGTTGGGATGGAAAGGATTTGAAGGATAGTGACATTCAAAGAACAGTAAATTCCGTCGAAATTCCAGTTGACTGTGCTGCGTGGCCAGCGTAAGCTGGTGGGCCAACAGTGATTGGTTTTGGCGGAATTTTAAAGTATGGTGGCAAGTGTGATTGAGGTTCTTTAAGATCCGAGACACCATGATAAAATCGCCTTGTCGACGCAGATAATGTCTGCGTACACGCTTAGAGACTTCAGCCTGAGTTGGTGAGTCGGGAGGGACAAAGCTTCGACCTACTATGTCGCCCTGCGATGTGCTGCATCGAGCGCGGTGAGGTGACGCTTTTCTAAGGCTCTCACATATCGTTGGCCATTCTACGTAAGAAAAGATAAGGTACGGAATGTTCCAATCTCCCTACGCAAAAGTTCGAAGTGCTGATTTGTTTTTCTGATTCTCTTTCGGATCACCTCAAACAGCCAATATCCCCTGGTACGCGAATGCCGAGATAGACCTCATAAGATGCACGTTGCAGAACTTGCGGCCCTAATGATTGATTTGATGGTGTACATTCAAAACTCCTCACTTGATCGTGTGGAATCTGAGCCTGATCCAGGTGGACCCTGTGCAAGCCCTCTCTAGGTCACGTTACAGATGGATGTGACCATCCAATGCAGCAAAATAAGCCATATTTTAGATCACTGGATGATAGTAGAAGATCTAAAGCAAGAACTCGCGGAGTCATTTACGAAGACCAGGAGTAGGCGTGGTCGGAGGACAGAGGTTGTGGTACACCGCACTGAACTTCCATTGAACCAGATAGGATGTTGCGGAACCTCATCTTTAGATAGCGTTGAGTGAGAAACTTGTCTATGTAACCAGGAACAGGATTACTGTGTCCACGTATCCGGAACTGGTGTCATAGAATGTGATGATTCAAGTGCTCAAATGTCTTTGCGAAATCCAGATACAGGCGATATATATTTCTGCACTAGTATCGATAGACTCTGTCCAGCAGACACAGGCTAACAGTATGTTAAGGATGCTTGTCCGATTCCGGCGAAATCCTTGCGGCTCTTCAGATTCTTCACGGTTGCCTCAGCAACAGTAGTTTCCATGAGGTTGGAGATCACAGAAAGTACGGCTATCGGCCGATAATCATCTAGTTCTGCACGGCCGACACAGTAAACGGGAGTGACAAACCCACGTTTCCAAATTACTTGAACCTGAATTATCTTAAGAGATCTTTGAAAGGATCTGACTAGCAGGTCAGCTGGGTTCATGCTAGCGAACTTCAGTAGCTTGTAATGAAAGTGACCTGCACCATAGGAGCTGTCCTCCAGCAATGACATCAGCCGATTCACTGAATCTGTGAAGGGAAACGATGTTTGCGTAAGTCATGATTGCTGCATGATCCACGTAACAAGGATTTTAGGTAATATTACAATTCGATAAGTAAGGCTGAACTGCTTTCTAAGAAATTTGGCCTCGTCCACTACGGTTTACCCTAGCCCACATGTAAGTATGCAAGACAGGAGTACTTCAGCCGGCTCCATGAAATTTGTTCACGTTACTGGGAAGTAGCTTGGGATGGAGTAAAATCTTAGTAAAAGGTTCTCTTGGTAGCTTACTCTTATGGCCGAGTTTGATGTAGTGATTCCTTTGTATCGCCTAGACAGCTCATGTCGTCGCTAGTGGAGACTTTGCGAAGGCGCCAAACTGAGCCCATCAAGATCATGCATTTCCGAGTGTTTCCCCTTAGGAATGATTATATCTTTTTGATTTTGATTTCTGCTTTCATGTCATTAGCCCGTGGACCGGTTGACAAAGTCTCCCCAGGCCTACTGAGGGTGCAATTCGGTTATAAAATCCCAGTTAGTTACACCAATGTCAGACAGATTGACAAAATTAGTTACAAAGTAAGGTCAATACTGCTTTATCCAGACATACCTCGTAGCACAAGTAGGGGATCAGTTTTGTTACATAACCGCTGAAACCCTAAGAAATACCCGTTGTTAATACCTCGACCATATTTCGTTGATAAACAGGAGATTCAAGATGACCACCTCGTTTGTTTCTTAAAACGTATTTTACAAAAATAACACGGTTTACAACCATAAATCAGCAAATATTCCGTGCAGTTTCACTTAGACTAGTTCACGGAGAGTGCTCGGAGCCTCTAGGGCGTGCAGCTTGCAGATCCTTACCTGGCGAATGTGGCTGCAGGACTTTGTGGATAGGTTCTTCATAGCGGGAGCTAGAACCCAGTCTGTTTCCAAAGTGATCATTGACGGTCGGTATATAGTGGTTACAGGGATAATATTACCTTGTCTTAAATGTTGGCAACACCATAACTTATCCACAGCTCAAAACCCTCGGTCGTTAACACGGTCGACATGCAGGTCAAAGAGTGTTAAAGGATCACAGCGTTTCCCTTATTTGTTCGGTCGTTGCGCAGCGTTCCATATTACGCAGTGGGATCTCAGCGTCGGAGATTACCTCATTCAGTCACGAACACGTTATCAGAACGAGCTCACAGAATACTGCGTTTTGACTAAGTCGAAGCTTGCTTGCACGTAGACATTTGAGAGCTACGGATGTCCGTTTGAATATCCTCCAAACATACAAGCGTTCCCTGCGAATTTACGCTGACCCGTGTGAAAGCCGCTGATAATCGTTTTTTGGATGAATTTCGACCTACCGCCCTCGGCCGGTTCGGACTAGTTCATTTAGCCCATGCAAATAACCCCCCCAGTCGCGGCATGCGACGGATTACCCGTTTTCATGTCTAATAGTTGGAGAGTTGCACTGCGCTCCGGTTCAGTGGTGCAGATAGCTGGACAAACAAAATCTCTCTGACCTGGCTTCCGCCGTCTTTATGTGCGTTTCTGATGGCAGTTTGGTGCGTAACTTGCGTCAGTTTCCAAGCACCGTTGCTAATACTTGTTTGGAGCGGAGAATACGTTTCTTCACTCCTTCACCAAATCTGTTTTATTTGGATAATGAACTTAGTCATGACGCTGAGTTACTAGTAACCTCGTTGAGAGACAGTGCTTTAAAAATGTGGCGCCAATATTTCAACTCATGAGATAGGGTTTATGACATCTCGGAAGCCTGAATTTCATGGTCATCATCGGTAAGGCTTGATCCTTCGTTAATTCAATGGCCACAAACAGTTGGGTTTTACTTCTTGTGTAAATCTCACACCAAAAGTAGGTCAGGCAAATGCTTCACAGCGTTTGACGAATAACGAAGACGGTGAGCCGGCACGCAGGCTTAAGGATCACAAGCCTGCCTTGAGTTCCAACGGCGCGCGTACGAGCATGCGTAGGGACTGGGCAACCCGCGCAGTATCGGTAGCCTACGTGCAACTGGTGGTGGTTGTGCGGCAACGAAACGTCTGTACTGCGTGCCGGCGTACTGCTGATGCCTGTACCGATATAAGATGAGTCTCCACTTCGCCCAGTTGAGGTCTCACACGAATAGCCTTAGTTAACCATGATGGGTGCGGATGAAGTGAACGAAACTGGCAATTTTGATCTGGATCACCACTGTTCACGTGTGAAGGTTCACTGTTTCAAAAAATGGCTTTAATGTCGTTTACCGTTGACTCCAGCGTATTAAGGCATATTATCTTCGACGAGTTCTGCTTTTTCCCAGTGTTAAATGATTTAAATAAATGCAGATTTTCTATCTTCGACTGTAAGGCATGCGAACTTCTTAGTGAGAAAGTAATAGTTGTGTTTATTCTAATACTATTTGGTGTACTCGCAGAGGTGACCAGTAAAGTTGCTTTTGCTTTGCATGCAGCGATAACGGTCGCGTGTGTTAAACAGGCTTTCGACAATAATAAATATACTAGGTTCCACTGGTGTAGCGTGTACCACAGGTTGACCAGCGAAGCGAAACCACTCTAGACAAGGTTATCATAAAGAAAATGATAGACTTCTCTTTACAAAGTAATTTAAGTTTCATGGAAGCACTGCTTTTTAAATAAGCTGATATTAGGTGATTTAATTTTGCCATTTTTAAGAGCTCATATAATGCAATCGAAATAAGGTATACTTGAAAATAATCTTACTATACTGCTCATAACAAAAAAGCAAGATGCACGAAATTTTGTATAGCACATCCGTACTTCGATCACCACTCTATGTTGGCCACTTTGGTCCAGTCCTCTTACTGTTCAATTTATGACGGTTCCATTCTTTATCGCTGCAGATGGTTGCCGTCCGCCCGACTAGATGAATTAAGTCAGGGCGTTCTCCAAGCTTTGATCTACTATCGATTAAGATGTGTATTCTTCGAGAGGCTTTGATCAACTAAGATGCTTGTGAAGCTTATTGCATGGTTACCTAAGTATCTCTTCTTAGACACTGTTAACGTTTGGCAAAAATCTTTCATAAGGCCAACTGAATGAAAACTGCACTTTCACTCTTGATTTTGTCCAGATAACCGGCTGCAATTTGTGTGCCTTTTGGGAACACAACCTGTTGTGATAGATGCTACAGTTAGTCACATTGCCTTACTTACATTGGCCCCATTCGACATCCGAATCCTAGCGTTCATTCTCCATATTCAATTAGACTCACAAGTCATTGTTCATAGATGCTAACATATAGACTAACAGTGGCCATTTTTACAACCTGCAGTCATATTCTATCTAAACCAGAGATCATTTTACATGCGGAAATGCCTTGGCAGCACCCAGTATGTATAGCATATCGTCTGTAATCTAAAACTGGTCACAGCTATCAAATTACCACTTCTTATTCGTGTCCCAACTCAGCTCCCGGCTCCCCTCCCCTGTCGGTCAGCGCGGTTGTCCTGTCCGATGACACGGTGCAATTGCGCTGGAAGCCGCCCTGTCAGCCCAATGGCAAAATTACGGTAAGTCCAAGCAGCCAGTTTAAACACTCGTGGTACCAATCATTGGTACATTTCCGTTAAGAGTTTCTTCTACCGTGATTCAATGGATCAGTGACTGAGTGTTGCCCCAAAGCAACTCTCATCAGTCCCATAAACTGATGATAAATCCAACTGTAAGTTCGAGTAATACTTATGCTATATTTATGGTCTAATAACTCCCTTAAATTGTACTAGCCGTGAATGCTTGCGACACAGATATATGGGAAAACAGCGCTCTGGTAGCGCGAGAGACAAATAACTAAAATTACTTTGATCTTGTCCCTCTGTGCAAACCAGAATCAGTCGTTATCAGCATCACGTTTCATACTGAAATTCATCATCGATTGAGTTTAGCGGATAATTATGAACAAATCTATAACTAGTAATGACTCTGAAATGGAACAAGTTACTTTACATTGGGAATACTCTATGACGATTACTCGCAACATGGTATACACTGAACATATGCTCGGAGAGTTGAGGCGCCACAGCAAAAATATTTGAGAATGAGATCGAGGCTGGCTATATGTTCATGCGGATTGCTAATTTCTGTAAAGATTCGCCGCGGTTAATCTCAGGCAGACAACAACCACACTTCCACAAAAGTGCTATACGGCCGTTTCGTTCTATTAGGACTCGTCAGTAGCACGTGCCCACCGAATTCTGATGGATTCGAACCCACGACCTTACTCTTGCGAGCCAGCGACATTTGCCACTGATTCACGGGCGACGGCAGCGGTCCACCGTGGGAGATATCTACTTGCTATATACTGAGACTCATCCTCCACTGTCATGTATGCTATGAACGTGCAGGTGACAGGGCTGGCCTCCAGAGCAACGACTTCGCTGGCAAGCCGCCACAAATCGAGGTGGCGTGCAAGATGCTATTAGTTACAAATAAGCAGTAATCGCGTTGACAGCTTACACGCCACCTCGACTGGAAAACGTTGCTCTGGAGGCCAGCCAGGTCATCTGCAATTTCATAATATGCATGACAGTCGAGGATGAGTCGCACTATATCGCAGTTGGACATCAGTCATGGCGGTCCGCTGCCGTCGGCCATGACTCAGTGGAATAAGTAGCTGGTTCGCATGAGTAAGGTGGTGGGTTCGAATCCGTCAGAATACGGTGGGTGCGCGCTACTGAGGAGTCCTAATAGGACGGAATGGCCTTCTAGAGCTTTTCTGGATGTGTGGTGGCTGTCTACCTGCGACTAACAGCCACGGATCATCACAGAAACCCAATAAATCTCCCTAGTACTTACAAGGATTGATACTGCTTAAACGGGAGTGTACAATGACGCGCAAGCTGGATATTGAAGCATATTTGTGTGGAGCGAAGTGTTGGTCTGCATGGTTTGGTGAATGTATCACCCACAATGGCATGAATTTTCAAAAAGTTGCAGCTACTGAAGCCATGAACTATGAGCAATATTTTGTCAGGGGTAAAAATCAGTTGCATGACAAGTCCCGTAGGAAGGCAAGGATAAGCCTACAACATTAAAAGTCTACGAGTTGTCTGTTTAAGCGCCTATCGAGCAGATGCTCATCTGAATAACAGTAGTGTCAAATGAGAATTGAATGCAAGCAACCAAGACAATATGGGGACATTTATGGTTGGTGTACTACGGGAGAAAATTAAACTAGTATACTCACTCACGTACTGCATCGTTTGGTCTATATGACAAATCCTGATAGAAGATATGCGTATTATATTCCAAAGTATTACAACTTGTGCATCAAAGTAATGGGAGCCAACGGTAACAATCAATAGATTTTTGAAAATATCCAGAATGGAGGAGGAAAGAACTATGTTTAAGAGAGAGTTCCGGGGTTGGCAAATGCTAAGAGAAAAATAATTCAGTCGGCATTCCAGACAACTGTGCTGCCCGCAGTTTCACTACCTTGCCTGTTAGGTTGGTGTTATGGCTGAGTTTCAGCAAGTGAAGGCAGACGTGATTAGGGTCACTTATTATTTTGTGCACTAATATGAGATCGCCGCGCAGTCTTCGGCAGCGTCCGCTGAAAATCCGTAGTGAATTCAACTTTTGCTAATAGAATATAGATAGCTTAGCCCCTTGACGTCCTTTGTAGCCCTGCATTGTGGTGTCTCTAGCCCCTCCAGGTCGCTCGTCAACTAAGGATGATGTGTTCGACGTGAGGGCTTACGCAAGAGTTACTCATCATAGAGAAGATTGATGGGGTTGAACTCTCGATTAACCTCTGCAGCAGACCGACGTGCTGGTTGCCCCAGACTGGTTTGAACAGTTGTCATCACCCTATACGAACCCACCTAGGTCACGTTCCTGTTAGCTGGACTGTAATCCATGTGCCCTAACCAATTTGTGTTGTCATGCATATAGCGTAATTAAACAGGGCGACCGTGTTCCACATTGAATGTTACGGTAATCTGAACTGACCAGTTCGAAATCGTGTTGACGTCGTGATGGAGCATCATGGGTTTCCCACGGTGCACCCACTGAACATGTTTTCAAAGCAACTCTAATGAATGGAACTTGGAAGTAGTGTAAGGGAGAACCGAAATATATTCCGAATCATCCCAGAAATCAGTAGTCTGAAAAGACAGTACCAACAAGTAAATCCGAATAGAAAACCCAAATTTCTACTGTTAATCAGGGACCTCAATGTGTTCAGCGTGTGATTTTACGCGGATGTTATCATAATTTGGTTTGAATAGAGCCCATACTTAGCATTTACTTTGTGCGTGTAGTTACTCTTTGAGCAGGACTGTTTGGGTGTGGATGCTATCTTCCGACTATGTTCAAGTCCTTCTTGACGTGGTTCTGCGAATTAAAAAGCAAGGGTCATAAAGTTCCTCGAATTGTTAACGAATGAATAAATATTTTCCGAGTGCATAGCGTGGTTCGTGTAGCTAAACTACGGAGGCGGAAAAACTTTCCTGCGTTGCATTAGCACTATCAATAGGATGGCCATCGGTCCACGTCAGTAGGGTGTAGGTGCTGTTATGCAAATGTATCCTGATGCAAAAACGCGCACCAAGCTACTCCACAGAGCTTCATGTACAATTAAGTAATCATTGGCAACTCACCTACTCTCACAAACCTCGTTGGGTTTCCTCTAGTTGACTTAATGGCACGCCAACCAGTCGATTGTGCCCTTCACATATTGAATACAGACCGGGGACAGCGAAACAGTTCTAGACAATTTGCAACGTGTCCGGCGACGCAACTTCGGTTATTCGAGCGTCAAAATCTGTCAGCAAAGTATCCGGCGTCATTCTCGCCATCTTTTTTCTGGAACTGGCAGTGCCTGTGACTCGTTAACCAACGAGCACCGAACAGAGAATCAAACTGTCAATACAAAAGTTGCACCGACAGAAGTAAGATACAGCTACCTTCTCACACCGAATAATTGGATTCAATTTCGGTCCATGAGCCTTCCAAAGTAATCAGTGAACTCTGCGCATAATTAGTTTTAGCACCAGGACCCATTAACCTTTAGTAAATTTTTATCATGTCACAATGACTGACCAAAATTGAGACTCGCACAATGGTTTACCTTCAGTGATAAAGACAGGCATCGGTTTCCGGGTAGCACCGAAATTTACTGGTAGGCAATGGATTAATAAATTTCTGTGTTTTAAGCCTAGTGGTAGCCGATTCTTACACGGGAACGATAGTTCTTACACAGAGGCATTGTTATGGTTTCCACATCACTATACATCAGGAGAAAGCTTCAGTCGGCAAATTGGTTCAACCTTTCCTGTGCAATGAATTTAGTAGGTCATTGATTTGGTTGATCATTCACTCGGTCACTTGCAATTCATTTCTTCAGTACGGTTGCTTTCACTGAGTTACAACACTTGCGTTGCAAAATAGAGGAGTAACCAACGAAGAGAGGGAAGTTAAGGTGGTACATGCAGGAATCTCGTTGTGCGTTAAAGAATACTTTAGGATTCGATCGCTTCGTAAACCGTTTAAGCCAGCTTCAGGTAAAAGCGCTGAAGATTACGGAGAGCCAAATTTATTTAACAGATTCTGAATAGCGAGTAAGGTTTCTTTAGTATTTCACATATGCCCAGTGATAGCTTGTTATGCAGATTGGCGAAGACGATTGATCAGACTTCTCTGAACAGCAGTTTGGGTGGGTAATGAGCAGCCTTTGCGTGTGAGATAAATTGTGTTCCATCGCAGTTCAGTTACACTCCATGTAACTGGGTAAATGATGCGTTAGTGTTTCAGATTTGCCATTCGAAGATAAACTCATACTGGATCCCATTAGAGTAATCTAGACAACAACCTCTGAAATGCTGCTCGAACTAAATTACGAACATAAGCAAACTAAATGATTAACTTTGAACCAATGGAGACAAATACAAATCCGGTATTAACCATAGGTTACTATTTGTACATAAACACGTTGCAGTCACGTCCCCCCTATAAACGACTGATGTACACCTGATCCCATCGCAATTCGTTGAATGGATTAGCTAGATTCTAAAAGCCCAATTATGCACCGTGTGTTTGGTATTGTCTGAAAAACTGATTTCAAATTTTAACTGATGGCATCATGATAATTCACTACATCGATTTGGTCTTGGAGTTGGATTTTCGCATACACAGCTGTCTGTATTTATGACATGGACACAGCAATATCCAAGTGTGCATGGATGCACTGATTCACGTTCGACATCCTCTTGCTTGCCCGCTTACTCACCGATGCCCGCCCTGTTCCAATGGATGAAGAGCACTCACGTTTACCCGGTCCCATACTCCCACTAATGGTAAAATGTACTCACCGACTCACAATGCATTCATATCCGATTCGGTTGTTCTACCGATCGTCGGACTGATTTTACGCTTAGCAGCAAGCGGATTAGTCAATAACTCCCTGGTTTAACAAGTGGGTAGAAAGTGGACCACTTGCCTACTGTGTGGATAAGCAACATATGAAAAGGATGCGGAAAATTACTTCGACATAAGAGGTCAAAATGAGTGCTGT